CCCCCCCCCCCCCCGCCGCGATTCCGCTGGCTCGCGCGCGCGCACGACCCCTCGCAACGTTCGTGAGCAAGCGAGATTTAATCCGCGCGAACGTCGTGTACTCGAGTTCTCGAGACCGCGCTCGAGTGCACTCCTAAGCCGAAGATCCTCTCGCGAGGTATGCCCGATATTTTATCGGACTGTATCTTTTGTTTCGCGAATCGCGAGGGAGCATCCGAAGAATGAACGTCTTCCTTCGCTCTGGGATCAGCATACATCTCAGCAGAGCGCGAGCGCGAAAGTACTGGAGACATATTTCTTTGTTTTGCCAATAAACGACGTTCAAAGAGATAAAACGTCCCTTCGGAACTCCGCCGGCCGGCAGACCGCCTCCTTTCCGCGATAAAATCCAAACTGTCTCCGGCGCGTATCGAAGACCGCTTCCGATGAGAATTACTTAGTTTTTAGCGCGGAATTGCGCGGTCGCTTTATCACAGACCGTTTCTCATTTTCCCTTGAAAGGGGACGCGTTTTCTATTCGGTCCATTCGCCCTCGCTCGACACCAATTCTCCCCCGCCGACTTTTCCGCGGATTTCCTCGGTGATTATTTTTTCAACGGACGGAAATGGTAGCACAATGACGATTGAGATGTAAAATAATAACTGTATCGTTCTCGCAATATGACGTTTAGCAAATTGCAATCACGATGATGCACGTTCTCGTCACTTTTTTTTTTTGCAGTTTCCTCTTCTTTTCCAATGGTACTCTTTTGAAGCGAATCAGTGATAATATTTCTGAATAAAAGGATATTCTCATCTGAAACGTCGTTTTGTGGCTTTTGAGAATTATTTCTCAACTGTAAGACATACAATTTTGAATTGTTGCACATTTATCAATTTTGTCTATTTATCAATGTTTTAATTATATACAGCAATATCTTTTTCCAAGACGCGGTTTCAGCGACTCATCGAGAATTCGAGTGTTTTCCACCGTCTCATCTATTCGAAGGCGCCGCGAGCAGCCGCGAAGTTCCGTCGAAAATTCGCCGGATACGTTTAATGACCCGTATGTTCGGGGCCGTTCAGTGCCCCTTTATATCCCCCTCTCTCTCTCTCTCTCTCTCTTTCTCGTATACAGCGCGACTGCGGCGTCTGGTTATAATTAATGCACGATCAATTAATTTCGTCCCTTGTTTTACGCCGTCAACGACAAATTTACCGGATCATCGTCGCGCGGCTGGCGAATTTGCGCGTTTTATCGCCGCGCGCGTATCTATTTCGCGCTTCCGCAGTGTGTGAGTGCCGCCGATATGACGCTGTACAAATCGCGGCAATAATTGGCGCTCTCGCAAGTCTCGCCGGACGAGCATAATCGTATAATCGCGTGCGCGCTTGAATGTATTATGACTCGGAGTGTGTGTGTGTGTGAGAGAGAGAGAGAGTTTCTTTCGAAATTGATTTACGCACCGCGAGGTGTACGGCACATTGCGATTCGTGATTCACGAACGCACGCGCGTTTCGCTCTAAATAGCCTTATCCCTCTGCTTGTGAGCTTATTTACCGATATCACGGACAACACGCATTGAACATTCATGTCGTAATGAGTATAAAATAGCCGTGTCAGGCGCTGATGCGCGCTGTTTATTCGGGTCGCGCTCGCTGCCTTTCTCTCTTTCTCTCTCTTTCTTTTTCTTTCCTCCCTTACAATTTTTTATTAAAACGTGGCGCACATAAATGCCCGTTCGTAGTCCTCTGGGATTATTACCTTCTTCTCCTCAACATTGCCTTATCGCACGGAAGAAAAATAAATTCCCACACCTAAAACTGGCTATCCATATAATGCAACTGAAATTTAGTTGCTATACTAACTAATTTTTAGCTGTCGGAGCAAATTCTTTTTTTTGCAATACCTTTTGCACACTCCGCCTACTGTCTTCAACTGATGAACTGATTTGCATCGAATTTAATTCTGTTGTCTCTCAACATGTCTGACCTTCTTTCAATTATATTAGCCTAAACTATAATGTTGTTAACTAAAATTAATGGCTGCTCTATGTATGTATTACTTTTCTCAGTCTTATTCTTGTGAAGAGATATTATATCTCAATTTGAGTTTTGTATTGCTTCATAGTTGCACTTGAAGGGGATCTTTCCAGAACGTGTAATAAGTAATGCTATATCTTTCTCTCCCTTTCTCTTTCACTCTTTCTTAAACTGTGCATCGAATCGCGTCCTTTCTTTTATACGTGCTCCGTGGAAACTATAAATTCCAACGTAACCGGCGTTTCTAGATTAGATCGAGCCAAGAAATAAATAAACCGATGCTGCATCATGTGATAGACGAAGGGGAAGAATGATTTTTATGCAAATCAGACGAAGATATAAATGTAACGAACGGCAAAAACACACCGAGCTCGTTCTTACGGCCAATGTGCCAAGGAAGTGTCGTTTTCCCTGGAAATGTGTGTGTGTGTGTGTGTGCATGAGCGCGTGTGCGTTTTATATCTTCATTTTTGAAGCATAGTATCCGGGGCGACATTTCGAAGCAACGACACCGGTGAGCTATTTATTGCGAGCGTTCACCCGAGCTCGCGATCTCCATTTTAAATGTAATCCCGCGAAAGTATACAGCCGCGCGCGTCCAGGTATCGATAATGGTAACTGTAATCAAGTCGGAAGATGAAATTCGGTCGATCAATATCGTGGAGGGGCGGGAGTTGAACTGTAAAATAAAATCGATGCCGCGGTCGCGCGGCACGTCTGTGACGTTTCCGATGCCGGAGAGATTTTTTTAATTGAATTCCTATCCTTTTTTCCCGACGCGCGGTCTGCGCGACAGCGGGACGCGGTCGCATTTGAATACATAATTGGCAGTTTGTCCTCTCTCTCCCCCTCACTCATGTTCCGTTTCGACCGCGCCGAATCGCTGCTTTATGTCTTACCTTTGTGCGCTTCCTTTCGAACCGTCGGCCAATAAAGTGCGATTTAATTTCAATGTAAAAAACGAGGAATAACAATAGCGAGCGCACGCGCGCCGCGGAACATTAATGAAAATGTCGATATCGATATGTGTAGCTCGTGGCGCGCCCGCAGCCGCGTCCCCCGCTATATCTTTTATTTATTTACGTTTTTCCTCTTTGCACGGCTATCGATTACCGCTCGTATGAAACGCGTCTGTCTCTTGTTTTCTGCGAAACGAATGGCGCATGAGCTATCACTTTTGATTCATTCCTATATTGTTCATCCCGGACTCTTGTCGTATGATGTTCGTTAGATTTAATTAAGATCTCCGTCGCAGTTTCGCGCGATTTCAATGTTACACGGGGGAAAGAACGCGAGAAGAGGGAAGACGTGAGCAAATCTCTTTTTTGAAATAACAAAAAAGGGGAGAAAAGACTTGCTAGAGTCAAGTAAACGTACTTATCTGTTTTTCAGCTTCTCAAATCTGGTAATATTTTTACTAATTTAAGTATATTTTTATAGTTTGTAATAACTATTAATAATAATAGTAATTACATATTTAAATATCTACTCGAACACAGTAATACCTTAATTTTTTAATGAATTAATGCAAGTGTAAAATGGTACTAAATTTGAAAATATTTACTAGAATTACGTAATACTTTAATTACGGGTTAGTTAAAATGAAAATGGCGACAAAGTTGAGCGGTCTCACGGACCGGAATGTGGCGAATTAAAGACTCGAAAATAAGTGTGGCTAGCTACCCAGATAGCACAATGTCCAATATCAGAGTATAAGACATCTTTAAGGTATCTTTAAAACATCTTAAAGACATCTTATGTTCCGGTTTTGAACATCGTGCTGGGTAGAGTTAACACATACAAGTTGACGTCTACTTACGCAAGGGAAACGTCATATTGTATACGGTCAATTATATTTCTACTTCTAGTAAATACTTGCTAGAGAATATTGGAGCGACCATTTTACTCGGAATAAAGTAAATATTGCTCGAACGGTAGCACTTTATTGTAATGTAGAACAGTCCGACTTGGGCGTAGCGGGGAATTGTAGCAAAATGTTTCGCCGCGAATTTTCCACGCGACGCGCGCTTCCGAAATTGGGGCGCGATTCTTTTCCGCGCCGAACGAGCGCGCGGGACTCCTCGTCGCTCTGCGAATGCGGCAACGCGATGTGACGAGTTCCGGCGTGACTTTCGCGCTCTGCTCGCGGCTTTTACCGCCACAAACAACCATTTTCATTTAGCTTTCCCGCGGCGCTAAGTGAATTTTGCCGGACGCCTTTCTTCCGTTTTCCCGTCGCATATACGTTTGAGCTCGGCGCTGCCGTTATTATTGCATAGTCCGGCTGAATCTAATCCTTGCTTTTCATAAAATCCGCCCGGCCGATTCGCAGCGTCGGCCGGCCCGGTGCGCGCTCGTAAAAAAGAGTCGGCGTATATCCGTCCTCGTCGCCGCGCGTAATTCCGAAGGAAAAACGCCGGACGTTAATTATCGCCGTCGGCAGGAAAATATTTTTCCCGCGGTTATTTCCCCGCCGCGCAATAATGGGACGCTTTCGCGTGTTATTAGAGTCGCGCGAGCGAGCGTAGGGCTCGTATTTAGCGAGGAGTGGGTTACAAGTACGCACGCGTGCGGATAGACGCGATGTAAATGCTGAGTATACTCGATGGTTTTGTGTGCTCTCGTAAAGCAAGTTTAACATCGCCACCAGCGATGTTTGACCGAAATTGCGATATACATTCCGGGATTTTCGCGAAATTCAGCCAAATCTGGAAATCTCGCGTCCTTAAATGCCAAATATATCGCGCAATTCCGAAGTTTCATCGCGTTCGTCGATATACACCTCGATGACGAGCGCGAGATCAATTATTTTCATTGGGAACGTCGATGCTGCACAATATT